GTGGCCGTGAAGTCATCTGTGAAATGCCGTAATTAATTGCCCCCGGCACAAGCGTCGCCTCAACATCATCCGGTGGGACCGGGCGCCGCAAACGGTTGTGTAACTGACGCTCACTCGAGTCGCCTCGTTTCTCATAATTGAGCTGCTTGAGTAATGAGGACACATCTTGTTTTTGTGAGTGCACACAACGGTGGTCGTGATGCATGGCCCTTGGTGTCAATGAGAACTTCGGAGGCGTGTGAAAGGCGGAGGGTGGGTGGAGGGAAACAACATATTTAAAGAAGAGACTGTGTCCGACTCGTGTTACTCTACCATACCGATCTGGTCTTTCAGCTGGACGTGATTTATTTGTAGGGCAGCATCAGTCTGCGTACAGCGAAGTGCATTTATTACCGAGAGATATTCTCCAGCATCCGGTAGCCGAACTAATGGGCTTCAAAATACGTTAAGCTACAACTCCAGAGCCAACTGGATCCATTAATCGAAATGCATACAATCTTTACAACAAATGAAGACAAAACTAACTTATAATGTGGAGTTCATGAATATTTTTGCAAATTACTGTAACTGAATTTAAAAAAGAAGAAGAGAAAAATTACTTTCTTGAGCAATACCGGATTATAGTATCGATGCGGTAGTGTGGTCTGTGGTGAAGGCGTGTTTGGATTTCAAACTGAATCACACTTCTAGATAATCCTCTGGCTGTTAGGAGGCTACAGGAGATGATGGATGTGTTGCTTGTGTTTTCCTCAGGCTGTGTTAAAAGCTTGGCAAGGCGCTGCCATCAGTGTGCTGCAACCGTCGGGCGGCTTTGCTTAGACTGTTACAGTGTTTGACACTTCCTGTCTAAATAGCATCCACGTCTAATCCAGAATGTAAATCTTCACCCAGAACATTTAAATTGTAAGGCTGGTGGCTCACATCCGCCAGGTTTTACTACTGCAGCTTCTGGGGAAAAAAAAAAACAACAACCTACCTTCAATTTAAATAATTTCAGTGACGGTTATTTTAAAAGGGAAGTTAGAAGATCTATTACGTCATTATCTGAGATTCTTTAAAAAGACACAATTTAGTCCAAAATGAATCATACCCCGCACAGATTTATGTGTAATCTAATCTTTTATTTTTATCAACACATTTCTTCTAACTGTAAATAATATTAACCTTTCCAAGTAGCCCAGTCAGAGTCCACTTCTTATTTCTGAAGTAAAATTATGGGAAGTACAAAATTAGGGTGATGGCAACGACGCCGTCATCATAAACTAGTTGTGATACCACAGCAAACATGCCAAAAGATGAAATGGTTTGATTGAAATAATTCCACTAAAGATTTTTCCATTTATTGTTGAATATAATGTATATGGAAATGTACAAATCTACCCAGGGTCTGAATATTTTTGGGTTTAAACGTAGGAAGGAAGTCCTGTAGTGGACTGTGTCAAAGCGGATCTGAAGAAAACTTTGTGGTGCTAGAATCCTGAAAATAAAGACGGAATATTTTTCAGCCCAGACATACAATCAAATTAACAAACATAATTAGTTTATGTGGAGATATTGTATGTTTTTAAATGGTAAGAAGATCAGTTAAAATTGCATTACACACCTATGGGATCACCTATATGATGATGCTACCAAGAAAGAAATGCAGTGGTTGTGGAAAATAAATCCACTTCTATTGAAAAGAAGTTCATGAGTTCTGATTTTGCATAAATTATTTTTTTAACTTTATGTAATAGATCATTTTTAAATTTGTTTTGGTGAAAAATGAAAAATACTCATTCCATATTTTTATGCAACTCATACCACACTCAATATCCACAATATCCAGATTCACATTTTAGCATTATGATGTGGAAATACTCCAGTAGGCTTTGAACTGATGGGACAGTTATGTAATAAGAAACAAATACATGTTGAAATGCTTTTTACTGACAGAAAGAGGCTTTGGTTATGCTGTATGTAAGAGAAAAAAAATGTCATGAAAGTTAAACTTTAGTGATTTCTGTCTGAATCAGTCAGTCTCACTGAAGATCTTTCCTCTGTCAGCTGCGGCCAATTACTGAAAAGTTCTGATGTTTGGGACTCCGCAGGAGGATATCAGCCAAGACCCACCACCAAGCTGTGGACTACAACATCTTTGAGGGCATGGAGTGCCACGGCATCCCCATAGTCACCATCTCTAGAGGGAAAGTGGTTTATGAGGACAGGCAGTTCCACGTCTCACCGGGTCAGGGCAAGTTCATTCACAGAGGACCGTTCTCCGAGTTCGTTTACAAAAGAATCAGGCAAAGAGACCAGGTGAGTCAATGTACGCATCGACATCAAGGCAGCACAGTGTACGGTTAAATATATACCTCAACATCCAAGTTTGATTTGAAAGTCTTTGGGTAATCTAAAACTTCTCTGCACCAGTTTATACCCACATAATCATATTTAGCTGTCACTAGCTGCATTTCCTTTAAAAAAGAAACAGAAAAAAAAAAAAAACAATATTCAGCTAATGTCGAAAAAACACAATTTTCCAATTCCAGAGTTTCCGTTAAATAAGAAACACATTTAAAATTCACACGTGAATAAGTTTGCTAGTGTGATAATCATCCTCCAGCTACTGATTGTCGTCATCCAGTCCAGTTGTTGATCACACGACTCGTGTGATGCGAAAAAAAAGTGTTGCCTTTGCATTTTGTGCAAGTGGCGACCAAACAGACCTCACTTCCTCCTAGCGCCAAAGCATTTTATCAAAAAACTAGAGTTCTTCAAAATTGCTACATTTCTATTAAGCTAATTTATTTCTGAAATGTCAAACTGTGTTATTTTATGGTCAATAGAAACACAGCTACTGGCGGACTCACTGAGCTTCACAACAGAGACTTAACCTTTCTTTTGGCTTTGTGTGTCGCCTGCAGGTGGGCAGACCTGCAGCTGTGATCAGAAAGCCCTATGAAGGCAAAGTCATCTCTGTTTGAACTGACCGAGAACATGAAAGTCTCTCTGGATGTCCAACTGTGTCCCTGCAGTATGACCAAGATGCTATCAAAGCCGTAAACAAGGGACGTTTCTTATAGATATGACAGTTTTAGACGTTTAAAGTGAATCTATTGTAGTAATAGTGGAGGATTTGCCTTTATGTTAACGCTACTCAACATCTCATTCAGCTTTCTGCTGGAAGACAAAGCTGCGGTACATTTCTTCAGCTGTGTCAAGCTTTCAGGACGGATCTGCTCAACGGGCTGGTCAGTAGAACCCACTAAATGTTTTTAGCTTTCATGTTTATGCTATGCAGTCACGTAAAATATTTGAAATGATAAGTTTTAGCATGATTTCATGTTTATAAAAGGCTCGGAAAACAAATAATTGTACCATTCATACCCTGCATATCGTGGTAGTTGTGCAATAAAACTACATCTAGATGTGAACTTGCATCTGCTTCTTTTCTTCTTTCATGCCAGTTTCCTTAATCTTTAATCCCCATTTCTCCCCAGTGCTTGTTGCCATTGGCAACGGGATTGATTTTTCTCACCCGAAAGCATCTTTTCATTTGATGAAATATTCATGAAAAACACACAGACGTGCATGAAAGTGTTCAGATTTACTTGATTGACCCAGACGGGCTGCGCGTGCTGATCAAGCAGGATCTGAGCCAGCCCAATGCGCTACATCTATGCCCATGTATGGAGATGCATTCTCTCATTTTGATAGTAAAAAAAAAAAAAAACAAAGGTCTGTAGCCGTCACCGAGCATCATGCGCCTGCTTCCCATTGGGCTTGGCGTGCCGCCGTGGTTTTATGCCACGGGGCCAGTTAGGACACAGCGTGAGCATATCAGGTTGCTACACGGGTCAGTGGCGGCGTGTGACTCACAGAAGGTCTACTCATGCTTGAGCAAATGCTACTTCCTTCCTCTTGTCTCTGGCAGTACAATGAGGGAAGCGGTGGTTTATGAATTTTTACTGTACCATAACGCATTTCTACGAGATATCAGCACCACACTCCGGATGATGTAACCAGCTGTGCTCCTTTCATCAGCATAAACACACGACCATGATTTGCTAATTTAATTCAAACAGATGAAAATATGTCAAAACATTTTCAGTTTTCTTTAAGTTACATAAAGAGGTTCTATGAAACCAATCCTCTCTGGCATGGGTAGATTGGCCATTGGAAGCTGTGGGACATTTCGCCGTGACCTGGCCGATTGCCTCACTGCAAAAACACAATATCTACCAAGTATTTTTACTCTAGTTTCTATTGCAAATATCTTCATAGACTTAAAATTAAGATAAAACTATTATAAGTAACTTTTCAGCAATTGTTAAAAGATATGGTTTTAATAAAGGTCCACTATTGTGCTTCCTTTATCATTCTAGGATAGTTTTGTGGGCTATACAAAACATCTTCAATACATTTAATATTTATTTATTTATTTATTTCGAACAGACTGAAAAGACAATCAAGAAAACAAACAAAACAAAATAGAATAAAACAAACATAAAAAATAAAAATGTAAAACAAATTATTCTGTCAATTATTCTCAGATATTAAGATTTCACCCCATAAGTTCTGCGTGTTTTTAGCTCTTTTCGGAACGCGCTGTTTTAGAACTACGTCACGATTATGCAAATAAGCTGATGCTGGCCCCGCCCTCTTGACTCAGTATTTACATTCCCAACTCAGACAAAAGAAAATGGCTCCAAACACAGAAACAGTGGAGCAAACATACATCTTTAAACCCGGAGAGGAACAAGAAGCGCAATAATTAAGCATAAATAATAAATAATAAAATAACAATATCAGTAAAATCTGAGTGTCCAACATGTTTTCACAAACACTGCATCTTCTCATTGTAGATTATCGCTTTCAATTTACTACAATTCCGACACTAAGTGCGTAGATATTGTGGGTAACGTAATGTGAGATACTGTACAAGCAGAGGCGTCATTGAGCACAGTGTTAGCTTGGGCTAAATGACAACAAAAGACATCAATATATTATGTACTTACATCGCCGTCATCTACAGATTTGTGGAACAGTAGGAGCAGAACCTTCCTTTGGTAGAAGTCTTTTGGTAAAACCTCCAGTGTTGGTGATTTTCAAAGGACTCCTTCACAAACTGGTTTGCGCAGACTACAACTTTGGCAAATACCGCAGGGATTTTTCAAGCAAAAATAAAATGAAGCCACGCAGCTCTGTTCCCCATGTCTGTGAGAAAATGGACACGTGCTCAGAATTGATTGATAGCGGACAAGAGCAAAAAGCTTTCATTTCCCAGCAGCCATTGCAGCGGTAATTCAGCAGAACAAACGTGGGCGTGGTCTTGTAACGAAGTGGGTGGAGCTTCACTTGGGTGGGTCGCCAGGTTAGGGGCTGGGCTCGGCTGGGGGTTGCTAAATAATAAAAATTGTGGAACAATTCAGAAGTTTTTGAAACAGGTGGTTTTGCATACACCTGTAGAACATTTACTTATTCCCCAAAAAAATCAACTGGGTGTTTTATTGTTCTCGCTCTTTTTTTTTTTTTTTGGACTTCTTCTATTAGCAGTACCCCATTGGAAGAACAGAAATGTGCAGAAAGGAAATTCTGCATAATACTGGGCCTTTAATAGTTACATACTTTAAAAGCCTTTATAATAATTAAGGTTTATGTATACCGCATCTATTTTTTATTATTATTTTAGTCATTAACTAGGTTTCCATTGATTGTCATGCTAATTTTGAGTGAATTTTTAAAAAAAGAAAATGTAAATTTCATCTACAAGTTTGAAGCGACTCATCTAGGCTTTGCAAAGCGTAATTTCATCAGATGTTGATGTTGTGCATGATTGATATGCTGATAACTAAACACTAAATACACACAATAGAGACAAAAACATAAGTCAACAAATGAACTTAAACTAAAAAAAAAAGTGATCAAGACATCAAAGTGATATCTTGATCACTTGATAGATTGTATTTTTTATTTTTTTATGCAATCTAATACAAAATAACAAGATTTATTTTGGGCTTTATCATCATCATCTACAGATGCTGAATTCTTTTAAAGGATGAAGCAAATTTTGAAGCCAGAAAAGGCAGACTTTTTCAGTTATACGTATATTAATAATCAATGGTTCATTTACTAATCCCCCTATGGAATGCTGTGCTACAAATGTCATACCATCCATACTTTTTTCTACCAGAAAATAGTGCCAAAGAAAAGCATGTAAGTCAACAGTTTTTGACCTTTTAATACTCGGCCATCACCTCTCGGAGTCGAAGCTGGCTGTGAGCTCTAAGAGAGGCGAAGAAACTCCTGGAAGATCTTTACAGGAAATGACAGCACAGGAAAAGGGAGAACATAACTCTGCCTCCTGCACATGTAGGGTATATCTGTCATAGGTTACATAAGCAACTGGAGCTGCTCTGCGCTCTGCAGCGTGCACAGACATAACATCTGAATGCTTCGCACTGAAAATGAGGTTCCTTGCAGCCTTCTCTGTGTGAAAAAAAACACAAAAATCTATTTATATGTGGAATATGGTCTGATATTTGTCTAAAAATAATGTTACCTGTCTCCTTACACAATGAAAGTGAGAACTCAGTGAAGATGAATTGAACTGACTCATGGTTTGTCATCGGTTTGAGAGATATGTGTAGACATATTGCAACAGACACAGTGAAAATAGCACAGTTTAATGGAATGTTATATTTATTATGTTCATACTTTCGTCACAGCAGTATATCAAGTCAATCAGATCTGTCAGCTTAGTGTTTCAGAATAATCAAACACATAGTAGTTTACAGTTTTCTTGTTTATTATTGGTGCAAAATATTAGGGAAACTGTCCATTACAGGTTCAACTCAGTAAGGGAACTTGGAGTGTTGGCTGCTTTCCATTGTCTCTACCAAACACTGCTTAAATCAGCCTGATACGACGTTTTCCCTGGGGAGCTGGACACAGTGACCTTTAGGCGTTCATGCAAGTAATCAGATTATACTGGAATGTCTGTCAGGATGTATTTGACCCAAATATTTACCCAAGACAATTAATTATATTTACCCAGTTCCAGTCTTATGCTTTTTTTAAATGCAATACCACACACACACACCCCCCCACACACACACACACACACATATATATATATATATATATATATATATATATATATATATATATATATATATATATATATATATATATATATATATATATATATATATATATATACACATAACAACATATTTCATCCAGAAATTAGAAATAGCATTTTGGCGACCTCTGGTCAATCTGCAGCAGTGCCAAGTCCCTGTCATATAAACCTATCCTATTCTATCAGTATGTCACAGTCAACATAATGTAGTTGTTTTCTACTTAACTCACTCACCAATAATGTTTTGGGCACTAGAGTACCAGTTTTCCTTGACAATGAACATATTTTGTCCCAACCGTAGTTTCTGCCAGACAGAAATATGCTGCCAATAATTTGTTGAACCACATAGTTTATTTTGGTGAGAATAGCTACTGTAATCTTCAGACAATATGCTGTAAAATGTGTTATTATGCAGTCTTCAATCTTCATTGATCTCACTTCTTGCTCCTGTCGATGATGTACTGAAGCTAACATTAGCTTGTTTGCACTCTGTTTTGATATGACTTGTTGACCTGTCAGTTTGTAACACTTTTCATCATTTATTCAATGTAAAAATAAATAATTAAATAAATAAAACTTACAGGAAAAAGTTGAACTTCTGCTTTAGAAACGTAGTGCTTTGCAATGAATATGATACAATTCTAAAACAAGTGTTTGAGTTGCTCTCTGTGCAGCTTCTCTCAAATAGCCAGAGGAACCTGAACACAACACAGAGCAGTCACATGACACAGACCAGGAGCTGGAGCAGCTAGTAGTGTCATCTTGAGACCCAGACTTGGTAGAGCAACAAAGTAATGTGTACAGCACATAGTGAAGTGTTCTCAGTTGTTATTTTAAACATCTGGCCTCGCATGGCTCTCTGGACCTGCTGAACGAATCTTGGAGGTTGAGTTTGGTCATTGAAAAGTCTTGATTGGGATCTCAAGAGCATCCCTGATCTTAACCAGGAAGAAAGGTAGTTGATTCCAGGTTTTGTGCATCCACACAAATGTAGTCTTTAAATACCATGATCCATGTATTTTCCCATCCTGAAGATGGACCATTTTTTAAATTTAAACATTCAGTGTCTTTAACAAACCTGCAACTGATTGAGCATGGTAGCATTATGGGTAAAGAGAACCATATCTTTAAGCAATACTCTGAGGCTCATCTTTGGGTCGGAAGAACATCGGACACCAGAAATGTAGCTAAAGAGAGAGAGAAAAAGCACTTTCTGTTAGAGGCATTGTTTAACGTACATTTAACACACATAGCATAGCGTAGTGCAATAAATTTATAGGCTAACCTTTAGAATAAATGACATAATGCTGCTTTCATTGTCTTTCTTGTTCGTTTTTAATCTTTTTCTCAGGATCTTGCGATGCAGGAACTCCACCCTTGCATTGCTGGCATCGGAAAAGAACCGATCACAGACCATTAGTCTGAGCTGGGAGACTTTGGAAGCCATCAGAGCCATAATGATCAGGATGATGAGGATGGCGCTCAGCGGCAGCACAGAGTTATACAACAGCAGCTCGGGTTCAGGGAGACACTTCCTCTCAAACAAAGTCACGGAGTAGGAAAAATCCCTTTGACGGTTTTCTTCTTCAATCTGTATGCCTATCAAAGTCGCAATCCCCTGAAAAGGAAATAGAGCGAGTCTTCTGATTAACCAAATTATTAAAGGGAAGATCTACAATGACTTATTAGGGTCATTGTAAGAAGGAGGAGTAGACTTACACAAAAAAACTGAGAAATTTTCTAGAAAAACAAGGACATTTCTGAGATCCAAAAGTTTAAAAGATTAATCTCAGTAATTTTTTGGAAAAAAAACTTGGAAATTTATGAATTTGAAAAGTCAAAAGTTGAAACTCAGAAAATGTCCAAAAGTCAAAAATATTTCACTTTTGAAACTCAGAAATGTCTGATTTTTCTAGAAAAAAAGATTCATTTCAAAATTTTTGAAATTTTTTCTAGCAATCTTTTTACTTTTGTAACTCAGAATTTTTTTATTTTCTTTTCTAAAAAAATTCTTAGAGTTTTTTGTGGAAATTTACTCTCTTTTTTCTTTCTACATTTTCTTTTACGCCATCATAAAAAAAAAAATCAACCTATACTAAAAATCACAAAACTTACTGTGAAACTGATCATCAGGGGCACGTGGAATGGCTTCAGCTCCGATAATTTTTTCGTGACAATATCAACAAAGCAGTACAGCAAGGCATCCACTGTTATAAAAAGGGCCCAGGCAACAAAGTGGGAGATTACCGGAGCTCCAAACTTCAGCATGGCTTTCCCCTCGCTGCTGCTGGGACGCACCGATGGAATGGTGGCGTACCGCTTCTCTTCCTTTGGGGTGAGCGGGAGAACATGAGGCTTCCCTTCAGCTTTCTGCTTCTCATCAAACTTAACAAACCTCCCGCTGATGAAGCTGTTCTCATACTTTACGTCGTTGCAGTACTTTCTGACGCGTAAAGCTATTAATGTGAATAGTATGAGGAAGCTGACGGCGGGAAACATCTTGTCCGTCACAGAGAAGATTGTTTCCATGACGCCCTGAGCATACCTTACGGTCTCGTTCAGTCTCTGCTCGGCCTCGCTCAGCTTCAACCTGAACACTTCTGACTCTATTCTCGGCGAAACCTTCAACTTTGAGTCAAGGTTGACAACTCCCAGGTCGGTAACCCCTCTGAGGACGCCTCCAATCCACTCCAACATCTTGACATAGTTGCTAAATGGAGCAACGATGGATTCTTTCTTTGCCTTCAGGTTGCAGATCATACTCTGCATCAGGCGGGTCAGGTTCCTTAGAGTGTTGCGGATGTTTTGAAGGACGACTAAACTCGTTCCAGCAGTCAGCAGCAAGTTCCGGCTCTTCTTCATGAAAATGGAAACCACAAACAGAGTCCCCAGACATCTCACTCTGTTTGAAAAGAAAAGGGCAACAGTGAGTGAAACCCCGAAGCAGACCGTAATGCCACTTGCGACTTCCACTTCATAATCCACGCCGAAGAGGAGGTAGAGGAAGAGCAGGGAGCTGAGCAGGATGCTCGATGTGATGCAGGTGAGGAGGAGGAGGAAGGTCCTCATCCAGGTCGTCCTTTCACCGGTGGTGAAAACGTCTAATGCCTGAGAGGCCGTCTCCTCAAGCTGTTGCTTCACAGAGTTCCAGGACAGCAGCATCATGGAGGACAGATCCTTAGAAAAGAATATCTGCAAAGGGAAAGAAGAACAGTTCAAAACAGCTCATTTGATTTTGATTATGTTGATATTTAATTCAGGAAATGTTCAGTAAATCACAAACCTGATGAGCACAGAGACAGCAGCTACACAAGACATACCAGTTCCAGGTAATGAAGATAAATCCAGTCGCGTCCAATCAGATTAGTTCCAGTTTAGAGCAGTCCGAATGCAGTCCGTCCTGATCCAGTTCATCATACTTCAGTCTGATGTGGTGAACTGAAGGAATGCACCGGGTATTCTCCCTTTATACCATGTAAACAGGAAGTCCTTCTTCCCATGTAAACCTCAGTCATCTGCGAGTCATGTTTATTTTTACACAATAACGGAAGAAAACACAAACTAACGTGAGACAGAGTTTTATCAGTCTGGCCTTTTATGGCTGCAGGAGCACACGCCAAAAATAACTCTTCCTGAGCTTTCTTCCAGTTTGAATTTGATCATGAAAGGTTTGAGTGGAAACAAAGAGACTTAATGAAAAAATCAAAGTGCTTGAGATTGAAATTAGATGAAATATTCATTGACTGGCCTTGACATCAGGAGCCTCACCCTTTCAACATTTTGACTAATTTTTGAGAGATGCCTATACTTCATGGTCCTGGGGTTTTTGGGTGGCATCTCTATGCGTACTTGCATTGTTTCCTTGTTTCCCACATTAGCTGTCTACTATACACTGTAAAAACACAAAATCTTACCAAATGTTTCTATTTTTTGTGTGCAAATATCTTAGTAAACTTGAGATAAAACAAAACTCACAAGTAATTTCTTAGCAAGATATAGGAGCCTGTTTTAAGTAATTAATTCTTGAATATTGGTAAAACATATACTAGCTCCACTGGCAGATTCCCCCACCCCCACTTTTAACAATATATTGATGGAAACTCAAATCTTGAGTTCTGCAATTTACCATTTTACAACAACTTCTTTTAAGAAACAAACTTACTGCTTGAATAAAAGTGGAAATTCTAATCCAATCCTGGCAGAGTAAGAATCCTTGCGTAAAGTTGGTAAATGTTTGCCGTCTTGCCGTTGTCGCTCCTAGATTTGAGACAATGCTGGTAGAACGTCTAAACGACCGCAGAGATGATGTTTCTCCCTTTCATCCTGACATTGTAACATCAGCTGAAAAGGTGGTTCAGCTGGAACCTAAACGTTCAGCAGAGTGAAAGTATGATCCGTTGAGATCAGCACTATTCCTGCAAGAAAGTCTGACTAACTGCAGGAGATGATTGGGTGCTAAGGTCAATCCTGGCAGCGAGACGGGAGTCTGCTTCTGTTAGTTGGTTTTGTTTTGTTGCTGCTGCCATTGTGGCTAAATGATTTATGCTGCAAGGGCTTTAAAAAGATGCTTAGCGAAGCGGAAATGCGGCATTATCATGTCAACGCTTGTGTTGCCACATTAGAATCAACAAAAGTCCAACTTTTCCTCTGAGCTCATCCTGCCAGGTGTTTTTTTGTTTTTTTTCCTTTTAAGTTTTCCCCAAATCAGATCTGAAAGGTAAATAACGTTTTCTGTTTCTCCAAATCGATTTGCTCCTCTGGTGCTTTTCCGTCCGCGCTGAATCAAAACGCAACAATTTGTATCAATGTAATATCAATTTCTTTTATTTTTAATTTGAAAAATAACTTACATAAATCTCTGTACTCAACCATACTTCACCAAGACATAGCCTTGGCATTAACACATTGCACCAAAAAAGAGGAAATCAAAAAGGCATTCAAAAAGAAACAACATATGTCTTTGTCATCCTGAGGCATTTTTCCTGCTCCAAAGAGAGAACATACATATCTGCTTATGGTCTATTCAAATTCTGACATCTAAAGGTATGTACAGTGAGCAGTAAATTCAAAATATATACTGTATTCTGTTACAGGGATGAAGTTGATTTTTAGATATTAAAATGCATCTTTTTTTTTTTCATTTTTCTCGTGTGGAAAAAGGAACAATGCCTCAGTTCCATTTCATTCAGACATACTGCGACTGTAAGACTCATATGCCTCCCGGACACGGGAAGTATTGGTAATTACTAAAAATAGAAAATAAAAAATAAACTGGTCTTGGCTTTAAAATGAAATTAACAAAAATATAGTAAATTAATTTCATTTTCATTCAAAAAAAAAAAAAAAAAAAAAAAAATTTTTGTGGCAAAATCCCCTTTTTTTTTTTAAAATTTTGTTTTTCTCTTT